AACAGTAAGGGTCCGTTTGATATAATTTTTGTATTTGCTTTCTGTAAAGTAGCTTTTGAAGGTTGTTTGGAAACTAATTTTTAAAAAAAAACTTTGTGTTTATAAAGTGTTTTTGGAGAAAGTCATATTGAAGCAATTTTTCTAATTAGAAGCAGTTTCATAAAATTAATTAACGAAATTCAAAATCAACTTTTGACTCTCAAATGTTCCTTGACTTTTTAGAAACCATATTAAACGAGCCCCAAGTAAGGTATGAAAGCTATTAATGAATCGTACTCATCATTGAATAAAGATATATGCAACTTTTCACGTAGTCATAAATTAGGATTTTTAATTTCAAAATGAATCTGAATAAACAATCAAAATTTGTCTCCTGGATAGTGTGGAAGAGAAATAATAAGATGTGCGTGCGGTCACGACATTGATAAAGAATTGCACGTTGGTGGTTCCCCACTGCACTCTCCTTTTCATTTTTCAACCTTTACTATTTCAATCCCACATTTCATATATTTAACACAATCCCATTACTTGCAAAACCCAATTTCCATTTGAAGAAATCGGTTCTTTAATAAATCATAATAGAGATTCATATGAGGACTTTGTGCCCAAATTTGGATAGAGAAGATGGGCTGGATACGGTGCTTGAGGTGCCCATCCCAGAAGAGATGTTTGGTTCTAACAAGAATCGAACTTGGCAAAACATGAAATCTTGGATGAGATCGCATACTGAAAGAGCACCGCAGGTCACTTCTGTATTTGGAGGACGAAGCACGGAAATCCAGTTCTTGCTTGGTGTTATTGGAGCCCCTTTAATCCCTCTTCCAATCCGCTGTGATCAAACTATTGTTATGGACAACATTAAGGATCATCCCATTGTAAGTCATGCCCTTATTTTAATCTTTAAAATCTCTTAAGATCGTGTTTGTTTTGTTAGGTACAATTTTATGTATTTTGAAGTTTTTGTATTCGATTCTGGTTCGTCATGTTTGATGAGATGCCTCACTGAATAAATTATCTGTATGCAGGAGGCTTCAATGGCGAAATATATAGTGCAACAGTATATAGCGGCTGCAGGAGGAGAATACGCGTTGAATTCGATTCATAGCATGTATGCAATAGGGAAGGTGAAGATGGCTGCATCAGAATTTGTAGCTGGAGAGCACTTTAGTTTGAACAACAGTAAGGCTATGAATATAAAAAATCTGAAGCATGGGCCTGGAGAGATAGGAGGATTTGTATTGTGGCAGAAGAGGCCAGACTTGTGGAGTTTGGAATTGATGGTTTCAGGATATAAGATCAGTGCTGGTAGTGATGGTAAGATGGGTTGGAGGCAAACTCCATGGCATCACTCCCATGCATCCCGAGGTCCACCAAGACCGCTACGTCGATCCTTACAGGTAATTTTGTTTCAGTATTTGTTTGTTTTGATCAAGAATGAGATTTGGACATATACAGTTATTTCTTGTGTTAAACCGTCTTGTCTGAAAGTTTAAACGGTTAGAATGAGAACGCGTTTTGTGTACCTAAAGTCAGGAACCATTCAATTTTGATCAGATTGTTTTAAAATTCTTTTAGACTTTTAAGAAAAGGATTGCCGGTCCTGAACCAAGTGTTAATACCAGTTTTTGTCAAACTGGTTGTTGATCATATTTGACTTAATGAAAAGTGGGCTTAAACAGAATCTCATGTCTTAAAAAATGTTTTCACCTTCTTGCTGGTCCACTCCCATGTGGCCCCAGCTCACCCTTAAGTCTCTTTTTACCTAATCAGAAACTTCACATATTATTATTCAGGTACAAAAGTATGCAGTTTAGCTTCCAAATTTCAAGTTCTTAATCAATAAGTCAATATGGACGTCGTTAAGCTTGTCAATATGTAATATCCGTGCTAAAAGGTCAGATTTCGGAACACGTGATCTGACTAAACTCACAATTCTAATCCAGCCAAGAAGCCACAATCAAGTTTTCTCAATTTTTTTGTGCGCCAATCTCTTTTGACATTGTTTTCTTATCTGAGGTTAAACAATTTGTCATAGGAACCAAAAAGTCTATTATGTCCATGTTCAGTACATTCATTGTTGCAATTTTCACTTATCACTAACGATTAATTATGTCTACAGGGTCTCGATCCAAGGTCGACTGCCAATTTATTCTCCAATTCCATCTGTATTGGTGAGAGGACTATCAATGATGAAGACTGCTTTGTATTAAAGCTCGAAATAGAGCCCTCTACCTTGAAAGCAAGAAGCAGCTCAAATGTCGAGATAATCACACACACTATCTGGGGCTGTTTCAGCCAAAGAACAGGCCTTTTAGTCCAGTTAGAAGACTCTCACCTCCTACGAATAAAGGTTTCCGGAAACAGCGATGTATTTTGGGAGACGACAATGGAGTCGTTGATACAAGATTACAGAACAATTGATGGTGTTAACATTGCGCATGGTGGCAGGACTTCCGTCTCATTATTTAGGTTTGGCGAAAATTCTGAAAGCCATAACCGGACTAGAATGGAAGAAGTTTGGAGTATTGAAGAAGTCGACTTCAACATAAAGGGATTGTCGATGGACTGTTTCTTGCCTCCAGCTGATTTGAAAAAGGAGGACGAAGGATGCGATGTCGTTACGGGTGGTGATTTGACCAAACACGAAAGGTTACAGTTCAAGATTTTATCGAATTCCTCTAGGGTTAGTAGTAACCCTAAAGGTGCCAAAAAAGTGGTGGCTATTGATGAGGAAAATTTGGAAATGTTTGAGACAGATGAAGAGTAGTAAATCTAGCCTATTTAATCTGTGGTAAATTTTGTACATATTGAACCACAGGGCACGTACTCCCATGTGTATACACGATACAGATATATCATTTTAAGTTATTCAAGAAGTTAGAAGTATTCCTATTTCAACTTTCTGGCTGGCGTAAACTGGTTATTTTGAAGGATTAAGGTTAAGGAAGGGATTATGGAAGTTTTGAAATGAATGCAGGTGTTACGTGATCCTCTTTCAATATTGTGTAATAAGGGGGTCCACAACCTTTTTTTTTTTTTTTTTATCATGTCTCTTCAACCCTCGAATTTGGTATCACTTGAATCTCCAAAAGAGTAATGCTATATGTTGTGTTCGTAACAAGAAAATATGAAAAGTGGATTAATTTAAGGAAATTATAGCTCTTAAATATTGGTTTTCGAGGAACATGTTAGGGATTTACAGCATAATATAGTTCAGGCTCATTCGAATACAATAACAAAATTCAATAACCAATCTGAACCTCAGCATAAACTAATCAACAGAGTTCAGCATTCACAAAGTCTCCAGCATACATTAACATATATATTGCAGAAATCATAAGAATACATAGAAGCTGAAAAATCGAAAGCATAAACGAGACAAGGGAGTCAATTCTTTTAAACATAATAGGTGTATCATGTAT